GACCAAGTAGTTCTCCCTGAAATGTTTATACACTTCGATTAAGTAGCCCCTCGCCTATCTATAGTTTTAGCTAGGCATTCCAATTTCTCTGGGTAACTGACACACACCAACAACCATATACATACACATACACACACACACACACACACACACACACACACACAAACAACCATACACACAAACACACACATAGAAGTCCTTTTATTAAATATAGAAATACACCTGTATTGTATTATGGCACATTTGAGCTCAGACTCCCGCCTCACAGTTTATTATGGTGGTTAAAGAAACAAAACTTACGGGCTTGGATAAAACTTATCCATTTACTTGAGAGAATATTAGGACCAACACACAATACAGGAACATCAGTTGAGTGGGTAGGAATAATCTATATTGACAGGAATAGCATTATACAAGATCAATTTTCATGGAAACATATCAATAGATTATATTCATCCTTGTACAAAAATATGCTTTTAATAAATGTGGATTTGACTTTATTAGATTATGCTTCATTACCATTATCTTTACATCTAAAAGTCACCACAAGCACATATAAAATTAAATCTACAAGTCGGACATCAAAAGGAAGGAATTTTTCATTCAGTCATAATAGCAAAAAAATACACTTCTAGGGCTTATTTCACTCCTATTTCAGACAGTTCTCAAACTGAAAGAATGTATGTGTGTGTGTGTGTGTGTGTGTAATTAGAATACTATTTCCAGAGTCTTAGTATAAATGGTGTCAAAGAATTAGAACATATCCTATTAAGAAAGTAAGTGGCTCAGAGCTGACTCTAAAATACATTGCATTAAACATTTCATTGATTTATAATTATTTAGCGATTCTTTTCTTGTTATAACAGATCTCACTTGATTCTCCAGCAAGATTCTTGTATTCCACACTCTAGCATTTGTCAGGACACACCTGCTACATCTCACACACCTGCAACAGTCTAATACCTGCCTCAACATACACCTGTAAGTCCCAAAAGTATGCATATATCAGACATGTACAGTACACGACAAACACCCGTAAGATCCATATGAATGCATATAAGAGACACACAGATATAGCAGACGACTGCAAGACCCAGCACACACCTGAACCAGACACCTCATGATCCGTTCATGAAGGCAAGATAATGTGAAACACCTGCAAGAGCCAGACAGCAGCAAGAATCAGATCAAATGTAAATAAAACATATCTATCCAAGTCAGGTTAGGTTAGGTCACCACTAATACTGGAAGTGTCCCATTTGACTCGTCTCTCATGCTTCTCACTATAAAATGCCTCTTTGTTCCATTTGTTATGGATGTTTTTGTAAGTTTAGTGAATCTTATACAGCATAAGAACAGAGGATTAATTGAGCTATAATTTATTGCTCTAGACATTTAATATGTATGTAGTGTATCTCAGTAAATGAATGGAATATATTTATTGTGTCTTTAGAATGTGGCTGCAACTTACCCTTGACCACCAGACACCTCAAAACATACTGTAGATGAGACATTGGATTGTGATTCCTCTTCTAACACACACTGTGTCTTTGTAAGGAAGCAGAGACGAGAACCAACCACCGGATATAAAAATTAAGCTTTGCTCCCGAGGGTCTGTTTTTACCGTCATTATTCTCACCTTATAAAACGCCCATTTTTAATTACTGGTACACAATGGCTACTTCAACTTGAGCATAAAGTACTGTACACTAAACACATCTACTACTAGTAATCCTCACTACTAACCAGACCAAATAGCACCACGAAAGAAACTCTTCTACGTTGAATTACAAGACTACATAATACTGGACGTGTCCCCTGAACAATGTGTCTGTCTCATAGTCAATAAAAGTATTGTAGTTATGTTTTCACTGTAGCAAATTAATGGTTCAGGAAACATCATGTAAAAAATATGTTTTGATGACAATGTTGCACACAATATATATATATATATATATATATATATATATATATATATATATATATATATATATATATATATATATATATATATATATATATATATATATATATATATATATATATATATATATATATATATATATATATATATATATATATATATATATATATATATATATATATATATAGTATTTATTTATTTAGATAGATTATAGTATACTATATGATGCCTCCTTACAACATATTTCAACACATGTTAGTACAGTATTACAGTTGGCCATGAAGGAGTGTGGAATATTTCATCATATTTCAAGCAACACTTAATAGCACAAAATATTAAAACATCCAACATTCGAACATGAGAGAAATACAATTGTGCTACTGAGAACAAAAGTACACAAATAATACAGAGATACAAGATAAGCCCTATACTATGTCGTGTAGTAGCAGGTATAGTCCCAGCACTATCCATGGCTGGAGACACAACTTATCATAATAAAGCAGATCTGTGGCAGGTTTGTGCCATGACACAAGAAAGGAGCAGCAGCTCTCACCGCGTACGTGTACTGATGTGTGCTGACAGTCTGAGTCTGTGTTGAAAAATAAACAAAAGTACAGTATAAGATGAGGGAAAACCCTGAACACTACGTAGTGAGAATACTGAGCTCCATATTGGTCAGGTCATTACACTATTCAAGATCTATACTGGCCTCATTGTAGAAGATATTACAGAACTGGCTATTCATCAATATATCAAACATTTACAGAGGTCAAAATGACAAGAATACTCAAGATCTATCCTAACCAATTCTTCAAGGGTTACACCAGACACATAGTAGTCTTGGTCTATACTGGCCCAGTTAACAGAGTACCAGAACTATATAGACTATGCATTACAATATGAAAATTAATTATTGCTTTGTGGCATTTTTCTTGTAATCTAAGAAAATAATTATTGTATATGGGGTCAGAACCTATACATTGATTCAGTAATTCTCCCCCCCCCCCAAAAAAAAAATAATTACCAAATTTTAAGGAAACAATTCATTAACTGAAGAAATACAGTACAGGTTGAGGAGCCTTTACCAAAAAGCTTGATTATGTTTCACTTAGTTGTATCTCTTAATTGTTGATGGACTGTGTAAATACTAGCCTTATTAAATGCTTCAAGACCTTAGTTGTTGAAGTGCAGTAATAACACCACCACTTCTCCCACTGTTCTTGATTAAGTTGTTTATATACTGTACTGTACTTTAGGAATTTTTTTACAATAAACATGATTTTGTTTTGGTATCTTTTAACCTTGCTGCGAAAAACTCAACAGGGATTAATGTGAACAAGAGTTAGGTTAGGTTAGTTCAGCTGAGCGGCCTATCCAGCTGCCCTGCAAACTCAACCTGGATATGTTGTTTCTTCTCAGCCTTTGATATAATTATGGGATAAAAATACAGAGAACTTGGTGTCATTGTGGGATATAACTTCATACTTAAATACAGTACAGTAAGGTCCATTTATTTATTTTTCATCAGTTTTTGGAATTTTGCATAAAGTTTCCTCGACCTGTACTTTGTCGTTACCCTCAAAAAAAAAATGCCACGAAATTAGATTTTTTACCACAGCAGGGAGTCTCTTAACAAACTTATATGTGTCAAAATCATTTTCAGTATCTGTTAAAACTAAACTTTCATAATAATAATAATAATTGTAAGAATAAAAAAAAGTGATAATGTTCTTTTTTAGGGGTGAGCAATTCCCAATGATTGATCTCAATACCTCGAATCTGCTTTGAAAAATTTGGCACATGTTACACTCCATATATTGTATGTACAGAAGCCAAAACAAACATCCTAACACAAATTGACATTACTTTAACTTCTTTTACATAGTTACAGTAATGGTAAAAAACCCAGGTAATTATTTGTTTTACATAATAGACAAGCGCAGACCAATGGCATATAAAGTTCACATCAAAAGCAGTGTGCCAATGAAGTTGTGAGCAGTGCAAGGCCCATACAGTGTCCTAATAATAATAATATGTCACACTTTTTATATACAGTATACAATTATATTATCGAAAATAGCATTCTGTTTTCATTACTACCTACTGTGGGAGTTATATTATTACTTGGCATTGGAGATCTGATGAAAAATACATCTTTAATTATATTTACAATTCACCAATACAACCTCAGTTAAGGGTACCAAACAGAGAGAGTCTTGGGGAGGTGATCACTCCTCTTATTATCATATCTACAGTACATTATATGCAGCCTTTGAAAGCTGTAAGCCATAACTTCTATTGAAACAAAGATAGATGTACAGTACAGTAAGTGGGTCAAGGAGCTGGTGGCACCAATACAATTAAAAGAACTTATCTATCCTAATCACAATTCCCATAAACCACATCTCTGCACCAAGCAAATTTGGGAATTAAAATTGCATCACAGTACAGTAGGTACAAACATCCCGTGAATGAATGTCGTAAACAGTAAACCTGAGACCCTCCACATATCAGTAAGCCATTTCTTTACACATCTTCACTACTCAAATATTCAACGAATGCGCAAAAATTTTAGGGGCAAAATTTAGGGAGAGGTGAAGTCAAGAGGAGGGGGTGAACTCTATTATTACTGTATAAAAGTAAAGTCTAAGTATATAATATGTTCAAAGCCAAAATAAACAGACTATATTTTCCTTCCAATTGTATATAGCATTAAAGTACAAGCTTGATGTTATAGGCAACTATTATTCATGATTCACTATTGTATTTAGTCACAAAAAATTAACAAATGGAAATAAAACTGTTCATTGTGGATCAAGTAAGAACTAACTCAATTATTCATTATCTGATTCCACTAAAAAACATTCTTATCATTTTTACTGTTTACGTTACTCACTTAGCCATTAAAATATTCATCCTGATTTACCTTGTCTTCTTTATCTCTCTGTTTTTCCTTCCACCTTAATTATTATTCCTATATATTATTCACATACCTGTATTATTTCTCTTTATCAGTCGAAAATATTTTGATTAAGAATTCACTACCTTCAGATGGCTTTGATTGTTTGGATAGATCATGTTAGGTCAAGTTAGGTCATGTTAGATTAGGTTAGGTGAGCTCAGGTTAGGTTACATTAGCACCTATTAGGAGTGAAGCCTCTTATGACCTACCATCATACACTCGACTTAACTGTCCTGCTTCACATAAATCCATTCCTGATAGACAAGGAATTTACAGTACTTATTTAATTATCCATTTACTTACAGATTCATTCAATTTTTCAACCCGGTCCCTGATACACCTTTCAATTGTCCCTCACCTTAGTCTACCTGGTGGATCTGATCAACCGTCAGTGTTTACAGGCATCAGGTCAACTCTCTTTGGATACCGTTCACCATAGTATACACATTCAGGACAAGGCCAAACAACAAAATCACAACATGAAATGAAACATACTGTCTAAAATCCTCTAAATCTGTCTAAATCCTCACTTACATACATTATAAGATGTCTAAATCTGTCTAAATCTTCAATTACATATGTTATAAGACATCTAAATCAGTCTTTTTTTTTTACTGCTTTTATCTTTAATACGAAGCACACTAGATGGTCCCATAGATATATATATAGATATATCTGACTTTGAAGCTCACTGAAGTGCATGAGCTGACTCTCAAAGAAACAGTGACTCTCTGACTGACTTTCCTCTGAACAAAAATGAGAAAGTATATATGTAATACTAAGTGAGAAACACTAAATGGATGCTTATGGTATGTACATATTTACATATACAGGAATTCATTAGCTGCTTCCTTCCCAGTAAGGTACAGTATATTTTTCATTGAAAATCCACATGTTGGCCATCCCTCATATTTACATTATGAAATAGCAGAATGATATAATAACATACACTAGAGAAATGTATACAATATGGGCTGTTTCTCACTGAAAATCCACATATCCACATTTTGGCCATTCCCCATACAATATTTACACTATGAAATAGAATTGTTTATAAACATACACTTGAGAACTGTATGTGAAGAACATGCAATTCTGGAATATCACTTGTGTTACAGACATCTGATCAATGAATCACTCCACAAGGATCATAACACAATGAACAAATGAATGTGAAGAATGAATGGAAAACATATCAGCAGGCTATCGTATGTTAGGTGAATAAGTGACTAAATCAAGTACAGGTGTCATTTAAGAGGCCCACAGAGGCCCCACAGAGCTCCACAGAGACCCCAAAGAGACCCCACAGAGGTCCACAGAGACCCCACAGAGGTCCACAGACACCCCACAGAGGTCTACAGAGGCCCCACAGAGACCCCACAGAGGTCCACAGAGACCCACAGAGGTCCACAGAGACCCCACAGAGACCCACAGAGAGAAAGATAAAGATGCAGATAAATTCTTTATACTGCATAACACAGGGATAAATATCAGATCCTGTTTTAGATTATTATAGACAAAAACAAACAAACAAACAAAACAGAAAGTCACCATGACGACCTGGACATATATAAAGTTTGTAATGTAAATGACTAGTTGTGTCAGGCAGTGTCATTATAAGAATACTTTTGATATATACTGTATATCTTCCATTCATTTGAGGAGGATTATTTTAGCGAGTGAGGGAGAGAATGAAAGAACGAGAAAGAAAGCACATATAAGTAATTTTTGTTATGGCACTTTTAATTTCACGTAGAAGGAGTAGGTATAGAGTAGACACACATATAGCATAATGGATTCAAAGAACAATATCGATCTCAAAGACTCCACAAGACTGAGAGATAGAGAGAAAAAAAATGTCTCTTCATACTTTGGAACTCAGCATATATCAAGAACCTTAATGATTACATAAGCGCTTTAGAAGACTATTGACTTATAAAGGTATATGCTTCCCACACACACCTGTAGAGTTAGTGACGGAAGGGTTATGGAAAAAGATCACAGTTTAAGCAAAGTTACTTCACTGTGTATGGAATATCTATCTGATGGCCTTACAACAGTAGCTTCACATCAGTGGTAAGAGTTCACACACATACACATTTCCCCACCAAATCCTGTCAACAGTACTGATGTAGCCTTAAATGTTTATTCTCAGTCAAGTTTGCAACATTATGCAAATCAAAATTGCTTTCCCTGCACTGTTGATATTTCTTTTTTCTTGTATTTCAGTGGAAGATGACAGGCGAGTCCTCACATGGAGAACTGGCAATTAACGGTTTACCACAGTCACTATTGTCTCTCTGTTCTGCACATTTATTTAATACTGTGCTATTTTATTACTGTCGGGCATCGGTAATCTCTGCCTCCTACTTGTGATTCTCGGTAGAGTCAGTTGTCGTGGCAGCCTTGGGACAGTCCTCCTCTATCGTGTCGTGACTCTTGCCGTTGAGGAAATATGTGACCATGTCTCCCTTGCCCTTCACCTTGATCACCCCCCGACAGGTAAGTGGGTAGCCCTTCTTGTGCAGGATCTGGTAAACTTCTTGTGTAACCTGGGAAAAAAATCCTTATTAGTTTCCTTCAATCTTCTACTTCCTACAAGAAAAAAAAACACACCTTTTTCCATATCAAACCAGAGGTAATTCTGGCATCTATTGGTACCTTTGTGATGATAAAAATACTGGTGGTCTAATTGGCCTTGACTATAAGACATACAATAATGAGGTAATTAAATGGATAAATAAACTTACCTCTCACTCAGTAAAACAGGTATCTTTATGATTTTGCATTAGACAGTATGACATAACTTTTTGGAGCGAATGTAGGTACTCCAGCCATTCACTAATGTAATCTCTATCAGCAATAATTTACCATAAAACAATATCTTACATACAGAATATACAAATAAACGATTCAAATATGAGAAGTTAAACTCAATCACTTAATGCTTAATAAATATCATAACTGAGTCATATATGTACAGTGAAACCTCGATATAACGGACTTTCCTCTCCATATATGCAGTCCGTTAAAGAGAGGTTTCACTGTATGTTTAAGCTTACTTGTATCTTATCGAGCTCCCCGGTCGAATCCATTCTAGAAGCCACGTTCACGGCGTTACCCCAAATATCATACTGCGGTTTACGCGCCCCGATCACCCCGGCGACCACAGGTCCTATGTTAATACCTGCACCAGATACCACACAGAATTAGTGAACCTTTAATAACACTGCAATAAAGTGAAATAATAGCCAAGAAAGTAGTGAAACATTATATGAGAAAAAATAATTACTTTGACAATATCATGAAGGATAAGATGAACTTGATGGGTAGAATTGAGGAAGGTAGAGACTATGATGACTGAAAATAAAACCCGTATATTTAATCAGATTATAAAATCCAGGAGGACTTTCAATGCAAACTGGAAATTGGTTAGAGTGGAGGGTTGTGGTTGCCATCCCTAAGACATGAGAACACTAACACTTTATGTGGATGATAATAATTAATGATAGAATAGAGGAATTATATACTTAGGAAATAAATAAATAACACTACTTCAGAATGGTTAAAAAAATAACTCTGAAACCTTATCGCACTGAATGTCTCTGAAGTAATATCTCACCCATAAAGAAAAGATGAAAGTAAAGTAGTGGATAAATAAGGTGAAATACAGAAACCAGATTAAAGTTGACAGGAGAGGAATGGAGATGCAAGAAGAATGAACAAATGTAGAAATAATACAAGACAACAATGAATGAGAAAAGAAGAGAGAAAGTATATAAAGCATGAGAGAGAGAGATGAACAATGTAACCCTTAAACCTACAAGATACAACACTGTTATATACTGTACCAGGAATAATATGACCTACCTATTCGTATTTTGAAATTATTGAAGGAATGCTCATTGACGTACTCCAGTTGGTCTCTCAGCCTCAGTGCGTAATCTGCCATGGCCGTGACGTGACTGTAGTTTTTCAAATCTCTAGATGCCTTCGTGAGACCTACCAAAATACAGTGAGTGAAAAACCTCTACAAACTACACTAAAAAGATTTCTATATATATATATATTTATATATATACAGTGGGGTATGCTATAACGAACGGATCCTACTACGAATATTCCTATAACGAACATTATTAAAAAAAATTTTTTTTTCTTTTTTACTAATTTATTGTTTCTGTACTACAAGTATTAACGATATTCTTTATTTCAGGGGTTTAGATGCATATTTATGCACTTTTTTATAATTTTTACAATTTTATATTATATTTTTCAGTGTTAAGTGGTTGTATTTGGGGGGCCTGGAAAGGATTAATCCTATAACGAACGAATGCTATAACGAACAAGGTTCTAGAACCAATTAGATTCGTTATAGCATACCCCACTGTATATATCTTGATAAAATCACACGGGAAAATGGGAACAACGGAGCACCTTAGCTTTCGTCTTTATTCAAGACATCTTCAGTTGCCTCTGAAGATGTCTTGAATAAAGACGAAAGCTAAGGTGCCCGCTGTTCCCATTTTCCCGCAGGATTTATCAAGATTTATCTTATCCACGAGATATATATATATATATATATATATATATATATATATATATATATATATATATATATATATATATATATATATATATATATATATATATATATATATATATATATATATATATATATGTATATATATATATACTGTATATAAATCTTAAACACTGAATTACATTAAAAATCCCATCTGATGTTTTAATATTTCTCAACAACAATCAATTTCCTGAGGCAAAATAGCAACAGAAGCAACATGTTACCAGCAGCAGCCATGTACGTAGCTCCTGTCGACTTGATTTTCTCTATACATCTAAAGCGTTCCTCCTCTAAGAGCTCATCAAAGTCAGCGATGATCTCGTTCAGTAGCCTCAAACACTCCACACCCTCGTTATTGGACTCTAACTCCATATAGAAGTCGGAGAAGTTTGGGATGGATGCGAACAGGATACAGACACTCTCACACTCCTCGTGGTACAGCTCCTGTAGGTGGTAGGATGTTTACATTGAGATGAAGGCGGAGGAGGATTTGGACTCCTAACCTAACCAAAAAAACACAATCACTTATTTTGATATGGTTGGATGTTTCTATAAATAACACTTTGAACTATTCTGATAATAAGTAGTTTTAAGAGACAACCAACATTGACATTCTTACTCACGTCTGGGGCTTTGTCGACGCTGAGGAAATGAATTGCTACGTGTTCTGGGAGAATGTTGGCTATGAGCTTTCTGTTATAGGCTTGAAGGTGTTCGATCTCCTCCTTCTCCTCTGTAAACAAATGAAGATTCACCAATGAGAATAAATGATAATATTGACACACCAATGAAAAACCAGTTGATATTGATAAAAGTGTTTGATTTCTTCCCTCTATTCTGTAAATGAGTGACTTACACCAATAGGAATCAAGTTTAATATAGATTCTCCAATAGAAATCAAGTTTAATACAGATACACCAATAGAAATCAAGCTTGACAGAGATATAAGTACCTGTAGACTGAACCAAGAAAGACTCAAACAAATTGAAAACAAGAAGTAATTAAATAAAGGGGAGGGAAAGGTGGTGGTGAAGGGGGGTGTAAGAGGGCAAGAGAGACTTACCATGAGCCTGGAGTTTCCACAAAAAGTCGAGGCGCGATGTTGCCTCAGTCTGACGGGCGTGGATGACGAAGGCCACAGTGAACCCCACCAACACCGCCACGGTCACGTACCTCGAGATGAAGAGCTCCCCGTCCCTGTTGGTGTGTGGGGAGAGAGGGAGAAGAATCAGTGGTAAGGATATAGCTGGTTTATCAATGGGTATGGAGGTACTATTCTTAAGGGTAACATATGGTTGTGTAAGTAAGTTAGTGGTTGGAAGAATGATAGTACTCAGGAGGTAGGAGGCACAGGATATAATTTTAAGAGGGTTGGAGACAACCTTGAGAGGGTAGGAGGTAAAGGGGACAAGTTTGAGAGGGTAGTAGGTAAAGGGGACAAGTTTGAGAAGGTAGGAGGTAAAGGGGACAAGTTTGAAAGGGTAGGAGGTAAAGGGGACAAGTCTGAGAGGGTAGGAGGTAAAGGGAACAAGTTTGAGAGGATAGGAGACAACTTTGAGAGGGTAGGAGGTACACCCACACTCCATCAATAACTAAACAAAAAAACACTTACCCTCGACTAAGCAAGATGAGAGCGTCCTGGTTGTCGAAGAGCGTCCCATGTGTCACCAGGACCATGGAGATGTATGCGACACACACAGCCCCCAGGAGCAGTAGCTTGATGATACTAAACATGAGCTGATAGACGGCGCACGACACCATCACCAGCAACACGCAGAAGGTGAAGTACTGTGAAGGAGGGGAAGAAGGAGGAGAAGTTACAGGGTGTTGGAGATAATTCTGACTTTTAATAGGGATTCATGATGGGTATTAACAGTAATTATTTTTGTTGTTTGTAGTACTTTTCATTTTTTTTTAGACATACATGCATACTTAAATCTACGACATAACTTGTGATGAAAAAGAGCATTATAAGATATAAACCAATTGTATATATGGCCCACAAATAGAGGCTATATATTACCAAGAAGTGTTCAGGGATTTTTGTTCGCAACTGTACACAACTTAGAGGTATTTTGGTACACAGGAGCTTGTGATTTTGACCTTTGACCTAAGTCCCTGACCTCTTAAAATTTAATCAGAAGTTTGTCATCTGTGGTAAAGGTTTGGCTAATATTAATTTACTCAGTCTTTAGTTACTGCGTATATGAGTAATTTTTTGTAGCATTTGTGATATGACCTTGTGATCTTGACCCCTGACCCTTGACCTCTGACCCCCCCCCCCAATATATTAGATGTATGAAGTGTCAGTCATAAGAGTTTAATCAATATACAGTCATGAGTTATTGCATATAAATGATGTCAGTTTATCTCTTTCTCTCTCTTGTTCTCTATATCTGTCTCTTTCATTATCTGTCTACCTTTCTGTCTGCCTCTTTCTCTCTCTGTTTGCCTCTATTTCTGTATCTCTCTGTATGTCTGTCTGTCTGTCTTTGTCTGTCTGTTCCTTTCTGTCTCTCTAATCAACCTAACTACCACCCCCCCACACAACAACAACAACCACCACACAAGAGACCTACATCAGGGAAGTGTGTGGTAGTGCCCTCATGACACAAGTTGACCTCATCTCCCAGGGTCACGTTGAACTGGTCGAGTACCGGTGTGACCTTCGGCGCCTGCAGGGTCAAACTATCCGACACGACCCACCATTCCTCGGCTGTGGTGTTGGTGTCATTTGATGACATGTTGGTACTGTTGTCATTTGCTTGTAGGTAACATTCCCGATAGCTGTCCAGGTCAAGCAGGAACTGTGGACGTGTGTGTAATATTAGTTCATTAAGTATTATAGTTATCATACTCATCATACTCTACCTATCATACGTGTACTGTCTTTAAGTTATCATACTGTAAAGGTTTTAGTTATTATACTTCATGGTTTAAGCTATCACACTGTGTTATCATATTATAATTAAGATATCATACTCCAGGGTTTAAGCTATCATATGATCATGTTTAAGTTATCATACTAAAAGGGTTTTAATTATCATACTGTAAGGTTAACATAATGCTATCATACTCTAGAGTTTAATTATCTCATTTACTGTATAGTTTCAATTACTGCACTTGAGGTACTTGAGGAAGGTACTTACCATGGAAGTAATTGAGCAGAGGAAGAGCACCAGCACCACCAGGGACGCCAACATCTGACTGACCGTACGACTGCTGGCGACCGCAGAGCTCATCTTTGCGACCCATCTTGGCACACACTGGTGAAGGAATGCTTGTTAAACACTCATATACATTGGCGAAGGAATGCTCGTTAAACACTGGTGAAGGAGTGCTCGTTAAACACAATACACGTACTCACACACACACACACACACAGACAAAGGAATACTCATTAAAAACTCACAAACACACATATACACACACACACACACACACACACTGGTGAAGGAATACTGTACTTGGTAAACACCCAAACACCTACATAGTAAAGAAAATTGAATACTCTTACTCATCCTAAACTTTAACCTACTCCAGTCTGAGGAGGTCTTAGTAGAGTCCCTCAACACACACACAACTGACTGAAGGAGCTTAGTGACAACACCTTGACATGTGTAAAATATAATACGTATACATATTCCTATACTTAAATAAATCCCTTAAATCCCACAGTTTTGGCCCAAAATTGGATTCTGGTGAAAATCTCATTAGAGGTACTCCTGAGCATGCTGTGGTGAGACTTTGCTGTTATTCCAGAAGTACAATGTATGAGTGTATATATATGCATATATATATATATATATATATATATATATATATATATATATATATATATATATATATATATATATATATATATATATATATATATATATATATATATATATATATATATATATATATGACCTTCTAATGCATCAATCATATATTTTGTTGAAGATGGTCCACTTTAAATCCTTGTCAGTAAAGGGTTAAATAATCGGCATTAAAGGGTTAAATCATTGTTGTCAAAGGGTTAAATCATCTTTCATTACTATACCAACACAATTATTATTTAACTGCTTGAAAGGGGTGTGGCAAGAATATATTCACCACTTGAAGTATTAAGGTTATGTAATAATGCTTCAAGAAGGTGTTTACTCATGTCAAGTCTTGAAGGTAATGTGAGAGTGTAGCGAAGACAATCACCCGATGTTGTGTTGACAGCCTTGGATACCAACACAACAGAAAACACATTACTGGGTGACTTGCTTGAACTTTGATGACCTGTATATTACCCCATGACCTATATATGACCCCTGATGACCTGTATATGACCTACGTGACCCTTGATGAAATGATACCCTTGTATATTACCCCATAATGACTTATAACCCCTAATAACCTGTATTTGACTCCTTATGACCTGTATATGAACCCTGATGACCTGTGTGACCCTTGATGACCTGTGATGACCTACCTCGCTCTTCTCAGCCTGGACAAGGAAGATAATCAGCGTACTCAAGATAATGCCCACTAGGAACACGCCCACTGACACATAGAATCTGCAACAGGAAGAGAGAAGAAGAAAAAGTGTTATTAACCCATAATGAGGAATTTAGGCACTGAAACTGAACTTGTAATAAAATAAACTGAAACTGAAGTTGTAGGATTGGAGTTTGGTGGGTTAATATATCTGTTATTTGTGAAACTATATGCGAGAGAGAGAGAAAGAAAAAGAGAGAGAATTATAGCCTTCAACATTGTAACCCACACCATTGAACCCACACCTTTATAACCCACACTGTAGCCCATACCATTGTAACATTCACCAAGGCTACAGCTGAAAATTTAAGTAACTCTTTCTGCTGGTCTATACATACATACACAGGTTCACCTTTAGTGGGAGTCATTTTTTTTCAGCTCTATAACAGCAAAATGTTCACTGTCCAATATGATTACTGTGGCGCTGGTCGGGCAATAACATTAACTCTATATTTAGAACATGACGTTAACTTTTTGGAAATTCGTAAATACATCAATAAAATCTGTCTCGTCTCATTCCATATTAAGTGAATCTATCAGCGATTTTTATAATTTAATTTCTGATTCTTGTTATTAATTACTGTTATGTGTTATTTGGTATTGTTATTGTTCACCTGTGTAATAGAACAATGGGGTAGATTGTATGGAAATGTGGCCAGTGAATAATAATGAAAGTAATAAGTTTTATACATAGAAGGTTGAGTTACTTTATTTAACAAGGTGTAAAAAAAGGGAATATTATTATTATTATTATTATTATTATTATTATTATTATTATTATTATTATTATTATTATGATTCATTTGATTCTGTAATACAAGTTGGATTTTTAAGCTGTATGGGGTAGGAAATATGTGATAGGTAAACGATAGAAGAGGAATGAAGGTGACTGATGATAGAAGTGGAATGAAGAAGGTAACTGATGATAGAAGAGGAATTAAGTAGATGACTGATGTTGAAGTGGAATGGCGGCAGCAACTAAATAACTGAATGGAACGAAGACGATGCATAATGACAAGAGTTCAACTAAAAGGAACTTGCAAGGAAGAGAGGGACACAAATAACGAGTGACATATAATACATCTTACCTGGGGATGATGGTGAGCTGAACGATGGAGATGAAGACAATGGTTATCCAGGAGAAAATGAAATAAGCTGGAAGCATCTTGTCTCTTTCTCTAGAGTACTGTAGAAGACGAAAGAGATAGATAAAAACACAAGTGTCTATACTGTATATTTTGTAAACAATCTATGGTTATTGATTGGTTAAAGGTAAATGGGTAACGACTGATATTTTTTTACTACTACTACTACTATTACTACTACTGCTACTATTACTATTACTACAACTACTACAGGTTGACAATCCCTTATCCGAAATTCTTGGGACCAGATGCATTTCGGTTTTTGGAATTTTTCGGTTTTCAGAATGGTTAATTTTGTTTTCTTTTTTTTTACAGGGATCAGCCCTCCCGGGCACAGGTCACTGACCCACATTGGGGCCTGGGGGCTAAAATATAATAAAAATAAAAATAAAAATAAAAATAAAAATAATAATAATAATAATAATAATAATAATAATAATTATAATTATAATAATAATAATAATAATAATAATAATAATAATAATAATAATAATAATAATAATAATTCATAGGTCTAGGTCGTGTTTCTCACTTTTGATCTTTTTTCATTCTTGTATTTCTTTATTATTATTATTTTATTATTACAGTACTATTGTTATTATTATTATTGTTAACATTCTTATTTTATTTTTGTGTATTTTTTATTAAAATTTTTATTTACTATGAATAATTATTATTATTACTGTATTATCATTATTATTATAATTATTATTATTATTAAATTTTCACCCCCCCGGCCCCGGTGTGGGTCAGTGACCTGTGCCCGGGTGGGCTAATACACACGGATAAAGGGTTGTCAACCTGTACTACTACTACTAATAAGATAATAATGTATATAAACAACATGATTTAGCTAACAGGCCCTTGAACCATAACACACATACACCCAGACACACTAAACCCACCCTACACACACACACCCACCCTCACACACTCTACTCACACACACACCATCACACCCACAAACCTTCCCTCCCTCCCACACCCACCCACACACACTCACCTTCTCTTCCACTTTAGACTCCCGGAAGGTCAGTAGAAATCGTCGACAGTGTTCCTTCCTGAGCCTGTCTATGGAGCGAGCATCAATGGCCCTCGCTAGGTAGTCGTTCACCTCCTCCGTCGTATTCTTCCCCAGCTGAGACTCACTCAACCCGAGCCTGTGGTGGCAGAGGAAAGTGGTGAGTGTGGAATGGAACACATGTGGGAAGGATGAGATGGTAAGGATGTGGTCAGGATGGGTTGGCAAGGATGTGGTCAGGATGGGATGGACAGTCAATCAATCAATCAGTTCGTCCGTCAGTCAGTCAAACACAAACAACAATAATGACCTCACATGACCTCAAAAATCTGTGTAATAAATTAACCTCTTTTATCACAGCATTAAGCGTAATTAACACAGGTGACAGGATAACGTTAATTACAATATAAATGGTAATTACTTTATACTAATAACAGTCTATGATTCTACAGGTAACTTAGGGTAATAATAAATCATTCTCTTGTTTGTAATTATTATATACAGTATCAGGTAAATGAGTTAATTAACAGGTAATAACAGGTATAATTTCTTTTATAATGGAGTGTGTTTGTTTATATGTATGTTGATGTTGTAGTTATTATTATTATTAGTGATAGTATTGTTGTTGTTAGTAGTACCTGTAGTTGTGGTAGTAGTAGTGTTATGTTGTTGTTAGTAGTACCTGTAGTTGTGGTAGTAGTAGTGTTATGTTGTTGTTAGTAGTACCTGTAGTTGTGGGAGTAGTAGTATTATGTTGTTGTTAGTAGTACCTGTAGTTGTGGTAGTAGTAGTGTTATGTTGTTGTTAGTAGTACCTGTAGTTGTGGTAGTAGTAGTGTTATGTTGTTGTTAGTAGTACCTGTAGTTGTGGTAGTAGTAGTGTTATGTTTTTGTTAGTAGTACCTGTAGTTGTGGTAGTAGTAGTGTTATGTTGTTGTTAGTAGTACCTGTAGTTGTGGTAGTAGTAGTGTTATGTTGTTGTTAGTAGTACCTGTAGTTGTGGTAGTAGTTGTGTTATGTTTTTGTTGATATTGTTGTAGTTGTTGTGGTAGTAGTAGTGTTATGTTTTTGTTAGTAGTACCTGTAGTTGTGGTAGTAGTAGTGTTATGTTGTTGTTAGTAGTACCTGTAGTTGTGGTAGTAGTAGTGTTATGTTGTTGTTAGTAGTACCTGTAGTTGTGGTAGTAGTTGTGTTATGTTTTTGTTGATATTGTTGTAGTTGGCATTTTTATTTATCTTTTATTATTATTATTATTATTATTATTATTATTATTATTAAGCTGCCAAAATAATAATATAATAAAAACATATTCCCTCGTCCTTAAAAACTGTTCTCTGAGGTGTAAATAATGACATGATGGACGATGGTTAAAGACCCTGGTTATTGATGACTATAAATACATCAAAGGAAGAATAACATTAACCTGCATTATTATTATGAATTGATTTTATGGTTAATGTCACATATATTCGTCAATACATAAATAGTAGTGGTTAATGATACAATGTCTGGTTGTTATCTTATGGTGATTAATATTACGTAGGTTAGGTTAGGTTAGAGTTATGTTAAGTTTAGGTAGGTTAGGTTTAGGGTTAGGTTAGGTTAGGTTAGGTTAGGTTAGGTTAGGTTAGGTTAGGTTAGGTTTAGGGTTAGGTTAGGTTACCCCAAGTAGCAAACACCCCAATATCGTTCAGCCATCCTATAAACATATAGTGGAGCAGCAACATCAGCAGGACAGGACAGCAGGCTGTAGGGGTCAGCCAGTAGCCTCCGCCTCTATTGTTAACTCAGCCTAAAACTCTCGTCCAGCAGCAATATTGACAACACACCCACACACTAAGCCTCTTATTCGGCCTTTACCTTCCATCCTCCTCTCTCTCTCTACCTCCCACCTCCCCTCTCTCTACCTCCCTCCCTCTCTCTCTACCTCCCTCCCTCTCTCTCTACCTCCCTCCCTCTCTCTCTCTCTACCTCCTCCCTCCCTCTCTCTCTACCTACCATCCCTCCCTCTCTTTCTACCTCCCTCCCTCCATCTCTCTCTACCTCCCTTCCCTCACCCAAATATTATACACGATACAATTTTACTCACACACATATATATAAAGAGTGACAGACAGACAGCCCGAGACAGACAGACACACACCAACCTGTCTGGGTAATGTACAGGAGACAGTGTCAGAAGGCAAGCGGCCACTAACACCTTTAAATAACAATTATGAGGGAGGGGAAGGCGCCAGTCTCATTACCTCTACCTTATGAGTCAAGTTACAGCCCGTAAACCACAGGGAGGAGCGTATATCAGGAGGGAAAGGTGTACGCCAGAGAGAGAGAGAGAGAATACAGGTAAACAGGTCAACATGCATAAAGACAAACAAAGGTATAGAGCGTACACAAACCACACAGGTAAGCAAACAATACCAAACAACGAGGCAATTCGACCTAACCTACCCAATAAACCCGTCAAATACTTAGTTCTAGCGGGGTCTTTAACTCCTACACTAACAGTGAACAAAATAAAACTTCACAAATCGATTTTAACTTTGTCCCCAAAATTGCTGGCATTTAACACCCCACGCCAGCATTAAACACTTCCCACGTTGGCATTTAACACCCCACGCCGGGCATTTAACACCTCCCATGCCGCATTTAACACCTCCCACTGCCGGGCATTTTAACACCTCCTAATGCCGGGCATTTCTAACACTCCCCATGCCGGGCATTTAACACCTCCCACGCCATTTAACACCTCCCACGCCGGGCATTTAACACTCCCACGCTGGCATTAACACCTCCCACGCTGGCATTTAACACCCCATCACAGTATATTTAACACCTTACTAGTGAGCCATTAAACACCTCCACGCCAGGTGCATAAACACCTCCCACGCCAGTACAAAACACCTCCCACGCCGGGCATTAAACACCTCCCACGCCGGGCATTAAACACCTACCACGCCGGGCATTAAACACCTACCACGCGGGGCAGCAGGTGTCAGGGTATTACAGGTGGGTAAATGGACAGGTGGGGATGAACGTCTAGTACACCTTACAAAATTTTTGACCAAAATATACTTTTTCTCAGAAATGAAATTTAAGGGGTTTAACTAATTAAGAACTTTCAGAATAATACCCAAACCCGAAATCACACTTTGGAAACCCATAGTTGATGAGTAATTAGCATTGAAAAATGTCAGTAAAATCTTTCAAGGGTCATTTTGGCCACTAATCCTCTGCAATCGAATCGTGGACCACATATTCATAATCAGCAAGCGCAGTACCCATACTGTTATTTTCAGCAAAATCTAATTTTTGGCCCAAAACCACCAACAATGTTCGCCCAGTTGTTCCCCAAGTAATAGGGGTTGACCAGACGAGGGGTGGGCTGGATTTACTCACACGTACGTTCACACCCAGGTCCTCACTCTTCACTGCCTTCATGGTCTTTCTCTCCCTTTCTTTCATCCTTTTCTTCCTCCATTCTGCTCGTCTTCCTTCCTTCTCCCTCCTTCGTCCTCCTCCTCTTCCTCCATCCTTCTCTTCCTACTTCTGGTCCCGTTTTTCCATCCTATATTTTCTTGTCCCCTTCCTCCATCCTCTCCCTCCTCCTCCTCCTCCTCCATCCTCTCCATCCCCCTCCTCCTCCTCTCCCTCTTCCGCCATCCTCCCCCTCCTCCTCCATCCTCTCCCTCCTCCTCCTCCTCCCTCCTCTTCCATCATCTCCCTCCTCCTGTTTACCCATTTTTATGCCTCATGAATACCTCTCCTCTCTTGACACAGGCATTCGTCTCTCACACCCGAAACATCTTCCTCTTAGTGCCCAGCGAATACCGTCCCTTTGAGGTGCCTGCTCTTAGGTACACACGCTTCAGGTACACATGATACAGGTACACATGATACAGGTACACACGTCAGCGAGATACAAATAATAAAAGGTATCCCTAAGAGATATTTTTCACTCACAAGTTGGATCTCCCAAGAACCTCATTATTACGCCACACTGAGTCCTTTGGGCGGCCGCGTTATTATGAAGCCCTCAAGATACGCGTAATTACATTTTTCAGGCTTCTGCGTATTGTCAACCCTCGAAAATATGCGAGTTGGGGGTCTATTAGCACTGGGGCCTATTAGGACAGGAGGCCTATTAGGACTGGGGGCCCAATGACGGTGGATATAACTGAGGGCTGAATGAATCATTATCTCACATATAAACGAGTGGCGTGGTAAGAGGTGCTGGCGAGCCACTTACTGTACACTCAGGGGGCGAGTTTGTTGACACAACTAGATATGTTTATATTCAGTGTTTACACATACACCCAGAGTGTTTACACCAGACCTACAGATAAGATGGTGTAAGAGTACTTCACCTAATTTTTATTGGTGAGTCGTAATCAAAAATCATTCTTGTATTGGTGTAAAAAGTTCGAGTGATTGTTGGAGAGAAGGGACAGAATGGTCGCCAGGACAGAGGTGGATCACTGGTTCGATTCCCAGACCATGAAGAGGATCAGGTTTCTGCCTTGTACGTACACACACACACACTACATACACACAAACACACACACACACACACATACACACACACATACACACATACTCTTGTGTAGTGATCAACAAATGAGTCCACTATCACGTGATGGTGGAACAGCCTTTAGGTGGACCAGCATCCTGAAGTAATGGTGAGGTGGAGGGTGGGGGGTGAAGGTGGATGGGGGTGGAGGGGTGAGATGGAGGGTAGGTGGGAGGGCAAGATGGAGGAGAGGGTGAAGGTGGAGGATGGGGGTGGAGGGTGAAGGTGGAGGATGGGGGAGGGTATGTGGGAGGATGGGGTAGGGGTGACAGAGGATAGGGTGGAGGTGAAGGATGATGGGGTGGAGGGTGGAAGGTGGAGGAGGGGTGGAGGGTGTATGGGAGGATGGGGAGGTGGAAGGGAGGGGATGGGGGAGAAGGAGGATGGGGTGGGGAGGGTGAAGGGAGGATGGGGTGGGGAGGGGAAGGGATGTGATGGGGTGGGAGGGTGAAGGTGGAGGGTAGGGGAGGGTGGGGGATGGAGGATGGGGGGAGAAGGTGGGATGATGGGGGGTGGGAGGGTGAAGGGAGGGGTAGGGTGAAGGGTGAGGGTGAAGGTGGGGAAATGGGGTGGGGGGTGGAGGGTAGGTGGGAGGGTGGGGGATGGAGGGGGGTGGAGGTGGAGGTGGTGTGGGGAGGGTGAGGGTGAAGGTGGAAGAGGATGGGGTGGAGGGTGAAGAAGTAGGGAGGTGAGATGGAGGGTAGGGTGAAGGTGGAAGATGGGGTGGGGGGTGGAGGGTGAAGGTAGAAGGTGAGGATGAGAGTAGAGGGTGAGGGTGGATGGGGTGGGGGGTGGAGGGTGAAGGTAGAAGGTGAGGATGAGAGTAGAGGGTGAGGGTGGAGGCTATGTTTGACTTCTCACTTCCTCCACTTGACCTGATTCACCTCCCCATCCACCCAACCTCCCACCCACACACCCACCCAGGTCACGCCCACCCTAAATAATTTCTATTTTTGAGCCAGGAGTCGATAGTTAGTTAGTTTGTGTGTGTGTGTGTGTGTGTGTGTGTGTGTGTGTGTGTGTGTGTGTGTGTGTGTGTGTGTGTGTGTGTGTGTGTGTGTGTGTGTGTGTGTGTGTGTGTGTGTGTGGTTTTAAATTAGACAAATTTAGATTTAGGCGCGAAATAGGTAAACATTGGTTTGGAAATAGAGTAGTGGACGAGTGGAACAAGTTACCAAACATCATTATTAACTCGAATACGCTGGATAGCTTCAAGCATAGGTTGGATGGTTATATGAGCAATAGGGGTTGGGTGTAAATGGGACTGCCTAGTATGGCCAGCTGCAGTTTCCTCCATTCTTATGTTCTTATGTGTGTGTGTCCAGGTAGTTCTCCACGACAGGTACTCAAAATACTTAATTAGTTTACCTGGCTCTCAGACACAACAGCATTATAGGAGAAACGTCTAAAACCTTCCCCAGTGTGTTGTGAAGATACTAGTCAGGTATTCTGGGTAACTCTGTGTCGACTTGTGTGGCTCTGCAGAGAGGTCAAAGTTCATAGCTTGTTGATGTGGGTCAGCTTAAAAGGTCAGGTTAAAAAGAGTCGAAGTTTGTTGATGTGGGTCAGCTCAAGAGGCCAGCTTAAAAAGAGAAAGTTCAAAACTTGTTGATGTAGGTCAGTTTAAAAGTGTCAAAGCTTGTTGATGTGGGTCAGCTTAAAAGTGTCAAAGCTTGTTGATGTGGGTCAACTTAAAAGAGTCAAAGCTTGTTGATGTGGGTCAGCTTATCCACTGGAAGGAGTGAGAGGTTCACCAAGGTGTCGTAATACAAGTCTTTGAGTTTCTGAACATTAATACTGTATATACCCCCCCACCCACACACACACGCGCACACACACAAAACACACACACACACGCACACGCACTCCATATTCATGTTGATGCAAAAGATGAATCCCTGGTGTAAATATGCTTTGTTCCTTGTGTGTGTGTGTGTGTGTGTGTGTGTGTGCCTTTGTTTACCATACACACTCACTCCAAAATGGCGACGTTCTCGGTGCAGTATATCATGTCTTCGGAGGAGTGAGCCAGGATCACCATCAAGATTAGTCCCTCTCAGTTTATCTCACGCCAAGGTCACCCCACCCAACCCACTCAACCCCACCCAACCCACTCAACCCAACCCAACCCACTCAACCCAACCTAACCTAATTTTAAGTGGAAAATAACGTAGGAACCCTTCAGAATCCATCATAATATCCTAACTTAAACCTTCACACTAGATCAGTTTATTTTAGTCATATTATTTTTACTCTACGACAAAATAAATAAATCGTACTGCACCGGGAAAGTAAATCATGATGGGGACAAAAATTTATTCCCCCCCGACAGCCCGACAGAATTTCCATCTCTCGGGCCGAGGTAACGTCATCAGAGGTGTATTAATTCTTAGCTGGTCGTAGGATGTGAATTTTCCTCGTAAATGGAGACCTAATGTTATCGTAGACAGGAAGACAATGTCACTATAGAAATACACAGTGCCATTATAGAAAGACAGTGCCACTATAGGAATACAGTGCCATTATACTGTTCCTTTATCATTATTATACAGTTAAGGTGTAGCTACTGTACTTCCTGTGAGTGAGAGAGAGAGAGAGAGAGAGAGAGAGAGAGAGAGAGGAGAGAGAGAGAGAGAGAGAGAGCAATAACTCAATATTAGTAATTATGACAACACTACTGCAACCAGAGTGTGACTAACTTTAGGACTTGACGACTTTAGAGTAGGACTGTCTTTAGGACTTTAGGATAGGACTTTCTTTAGGACTTTAGGATAGGACTTTCTTTAGGACTTTAGGATAGGACTTTCTTTAGGACTTTAGGATAGGACTTTCTTTTAGACTTTAGGATAGGACTTTCTTTAGGACTTTAGGATAGGACTTTCTTTAGGACTTTAGGATAGGACTTTCTTTAGACTTTTGATCGGACTTTTTTAGACTTTAGGATAGGACTTTCTTTAGGACTTTAGGATAGGACTTTCTTTAGGACTTTATGATCGGACTTTCTTTAGGACATACTTCAGGGTCGGACTTACTTGTTGTGGATGTTGGTGTTAGCTTTGCTGGGGTCCATATGGCCGATCATCCTCATCTCTTTACTCACGCTGCCGTTCATGCTGTACATTGAGGTCTTCTTGGCGTGTGGCTGTAACAACATATAACCGGGTTAGTTCTCTGTCTCTCTTTTGTCTGTCTTTCTCTCTGTCTTTCTCTGTCTTTCTCTGTCTTTCTCTCTCTATCAATATTATGAACACACTTGTATCTACAGTATATGTATTAAAGAGTGACAGAACACACACACACACTAGCCTCCCGCCCACACACACACACACCAGCCCTCCCCACACACACACCAGCCCTCCTGCCCACACACACACACACACTAGCCCCCCTCCCACACACACACACACACTAGCCTCCCTCACACACACACACACACACACACTAGCCCTCCTCACACACATACACACACACTAGCCCTCCCTCACACACACACACACAGCCCTCCTGCCCACACACACACACACACACACACCAGCCCCCCACACACACACACACACACACACCAGCCCTGCCCACACACACACACCAGCCCTCCCGCCCACACACACACACACACACACACTAGCCCCCCACACACACACACACACACACTAGCCCCCCATACACACACACACACACCAGCCCTCCTGCCCACACACACACACACACTAGCCCCCATACACACACACACACACCCCCATACACACACACACACACCAGCCCCCCCATACACACACACACACACCAGCCTCCACATACACACATACACACACACCAGCCCTCCCTGCCACACACACACACCAGCCCCCACACACACACAGCCCCACACACACACACACACACACACCAGCCCCCCCCACACACACACACACACACCAGCCCTCCCTGCCCACACACCAGCCCCCTCACACACACACCAGCCCTCCCGCCCACACACACACACCAGCCCCACACACACATACACACACACTAGCCCTCCCGCCCACACACACACACACAGCCCCCTCACACACACACACATACACACACCAGCCCTCCCGTCCACACACACACACACACACTCAGCCCCTCCTGCCCACACACACACAACTAGCCCACAAACACACACATACACACACACTAACCCTCCCTGCCCACACACACACACACACACACAAGCCCCCCCCACACACACACACACACACACACACTAGCCCTCCCTCCCACACACACACCAGCCCCCCCACACACACACCAGCCCTCCCGCCCACACACACACACACCAGCCCCCCCCACACACACATACACACACACCAGCCCTCCTGCCCACACACACACACACAGCCCCCCACACACACACACACACACACACCAGCCTCCTGTCCACACACACACACACACACTAGCCCCCCTCCTGCCCACACACACACATATTCAGCCCCCCCACAAACACACACACACACACACACCAACCCTCCGCCCACACACACACACACACACACACTAGCCCTCCTGCCCACACACACACCAGCCCCCACACGCACACATACACACACACTAGCCCTCCTGCCCACACACACACACACAAGGTATGCAGGAATAAAGACGCCAGCTAACAGTGTTGACGTAGGTTGGGGGTTCCTCAGGGACCAAACCGTCTCCTGGGTCCCTCTCTCTTCCTGCTCTCCTCACCCCACCCATCCCTCCCTCCTCCCACCCCCCCCACCTAGAAGTAAGGCTAACAGGAGAGATGAAGAGGGTGGAGTAGAGAAGAAGAACATAAGAAAAACATAAGAACATAAGAAAATAAGGAGTCTGCAAAGGCCGGTTGGCCTGTGCATGGCAGCTCCTGTCGAGAGTTACAACCACTCTGTCATCCATGAATCTATCTAGCCTCCTTGAAACTTTCCAGCATTCCAGCACTTACTAAAAGTTGCTGCTTATTCCACTGTCTACCACCTCTATTTGTGAACCAGTTCCTTCCTATCTCCTCCTAAACCTAAACTTATCCAACTTAAATCCGTTGCTACGAGTCCTATCCTGCTCGGATATTATAAGAACTTTATCTATATCCCCTTTGTTGATTCCTTTCACCCACTTAAATACTTCTATCATATCTCCCCGCACTCTTCGTCTTTCTAGGGAATCCAAATTTAGTTTCTTTAATCTATCCTGATATGGAAAGTTTCTAAGTCCCGGAATCATGGAGTAGAGAAGGGAGGTAAGGAAGAGGAGGGGGATGGAGTAGTGAAGGAAGGTATGGAATAGGAGGAGGGAGAAGAGAAGGAAGGGAAGAAAGCGAAAAAAGGAATAAAAGGAAAAAGTTGAAGAATGGGTGGAGGAAGAAGGGAAGGAAAAAGAGGAGTTGTAGGTAAGGTAAGGTAAGGTAAGGTATGTAAGGTTAGGTAAGGTAAGGTTAGTCTGGGTAAGGTAAGGTAAGGTAAGGTAAGGTTATAGTCTAAGTAAGGTAAGGTATGTAAGGTTAGTCTGGGTAAGGTATGTAAGGTAAGTAGGGGTAAGGTTAGTCTGGGTAAGGTATGTTAAGGTAAGGTAAGGTGTATTAGTCTGGGTAAGGTAAGGTAAGGTAAGGTTAGTCTGGGTAAGGTAAGGTTGAAGGTAAGGTTAGTCTGAGGTATGTAAGGTAAGGTTATCTGGGTATGTATGTAAGGTATAAGGTAAGGTTAGTAAAGTATGTAGTAAGGTATGTAAGGTAAGGTAAGGTAAGGTAAGGTAAGGTTAGTCTGGGTAAAGGTTAGGTAAGGTAAGGTAAGGTAAGGTAAGGTTAGTCTGGGTAAAGTTAGTTCTGAAGGTAAGGTAAGGTTAGTCTGGGTAAGGTAAGGTAAGGTAAGGTAAGGTAAGGTAAGTTTAGTCTGGGTAAAGTTAGCCGTGTGTAAGGTAAGGTAAGGTAAGGTAAGGTTAGTCTGGGTAAGGTAAGGTAAGGTAAGGTAAGGTAAGGTTAGTCTGGTATGTAAGGTGTATAAGGTAAGGTTAGTCTGGGTAAGGTAAGGTAAGTAAGAAAGGTAAGGTAAGGTAGGTTAGTCTGGGTAAGGTAAGGTAAGGTAATGTATGTTAAAACTTAGACCAAACTTGACCTACCTACAACCATCACAACAACAACAAAGACTTATAATAACCCATCATTAACACCTTCCTATAACACTCAGTGCTTCATAACCCTGCCAGCTGAAGCACCTTAAATACTTCACACAACAACAACAACAACAACAGCCTATTTTCAAGAATTATGGCGTCTTGGACTTTGTTATGGCGCGGCGGGATAATGGTGATCCAGGCTGAGACAAACACACGCCATGTACCCCGTCACCTGCGCCTGTGTGTGTGTGTGTGTGTGTGTGTGTGTGTGTGTGTAAGGCAATAACTCGTACCATAGCGCCAGATCTCAACCAAACCTAC